GACGGGAAAAAAAAATGAAAACGCCAGTGGAACCCGCAATTCTTCGAGGAAGGAAAGTCCTTGAAGAACTGCAGTGGGGGCACAACCCTTCATGTCCGATTGTCGATAAACAGCTAGTACGAGCGAGATTTGTTTTTTGCAAGGAGGACCAGGACCCAGGGACTTCTTGACCTGGGGCCAAGTTCCACTAGCAGCATTGAGTTTCCTCAACGCCTGAATCTGGATGTGTTTGAGGAGATGTGCAGAAATTGGAAACTCAACGCCTGAATCTGGACGTGTTTGTGGAGATGTGCAGAAATTGCGTTGAGTTTCCTCAACTGCACATCTCCACAAACACGTCCAGATCCAGCCATTGAGGATACTCAACGTTGCTAGTGGGACTTGGCCCCTGGGGCCTGGACCCATTAGCGAAGTATTCTACCACTCCGATCAGGATTTCGATCACGTGTGGCCTTGAGTGACACAGTACGGCCGTTGAATACATCGGATCTCGACGATCTCGACGGCCTGGTAGTTTCCGAGCGGGGACTTTAAAGATGCCCACCTCCCGTCCAATGAGATGCGTCGAAAAAAAAAAACAAAAAAACTTGTGACTAACTTGGACATGATAGCTCGTGGCTTTGCATGGGCGGGAAGTCTGGATTTTATGGGCTCTAAAGGGGGGGGGGGGGGGCCAGACTTCGTTTTTTTTTTGTTTTGGCTCTGAGAAATAGAACTTGAAATGTGAAATTCAGACATCGTGGTGGATCTGACAGGAACGCTTACGCTTCTGTCGGATGGCCTACATGAGATACATGGGGATGAATGTATCCCTATAGCCATTACATGTTCATCCTCGTGGCTGTGTTCGTGGACACATTTTATTGCCACGGTACATCACTATGACGAGGAGATCGTACCAACCCATGAATTCGGGTGCACAGCTGTTCTTCGTACTTTTATCATTTTATGTGCTATTTCAATTTATTTTAAATCAGAAAACGATCCATTCATGCAAATAAAAAATCAAAGAAACAGAAGTTGAGAGAAGAATATAGAAAAAAAAAAAAAAATCACTTCGGATTTTCCAAAAAACCATAAAATTGCGTCACACATCTTAGAATACTTCGCTAGTGGGTCCAGGCCCCTGGGCTGTACTGGTGCTATGTCCGTTTCTGTTCAGAAAACATGAACATGGTCATAAAGTTGCCCAGGTTCATGCTCTCTCTCGAAGCACGAACATCTAACCTGTGGGCCCTGGCGCTTACATCTTCTTCTTTTTTTTTTTCTTCCCCTTACATCCTTTTTTTTTTTTTTTTTTTAATAACAAAACGACCCAAGATGATGCTAGGGGTGCTGATAGGAGCAGACACCACTAGCAGTCTCGGGAGGGCTCCATCTATTGGTGGGGAGCAGCACCTGCTGGAAAGCAGGTCCAGCGTCCCTGATCATTATAATCAATTGTTTGAACAGTTATAAATGTGCATGCACTCGGTGATGGGCAGCATTGATTGCCTTCGAGTGAGAGGATTGACTGCCCATCAAACCCTAGGACCATTACCCTGCCCAATTTTACTACTATCCGGTGCAGTAAGAAGGGGAAAGATCCGGACAAGGTTTGGCTTCTACTTCTGCAATTTTCTACCCAGTGTTGCCAGCGCATGTGTCTCCCGTATAGAACTAATTAACAAAAACCCGCTCAATAGGGGAGAACACCGGTTCAAAAAAGAACTTGAAATCACAAAAGGACGGAAGAGCGGCCTCAGATAAGAGTCCTACTCTTCCGCCCTCTCCACGTGGCCGGGACCAAGCAACTCACCCTAGAAACAACCTGCAAACCCTAGTAACATATGCAACAGAACCTCTCCCCGGCCCGCCACATGGCCAATACTTGTGTTCATAGTAATTGGTGTGCCCATCAATATCCGTAAAGGGCAATCAATTCCAGTCAGGTGAAATCAAGCACATCCAAACGTTGATCCCTATCGACAAAAACCAGTGGGAGGTCCTATCCCTACCCCACCCCTTCGCGCCACCACTGTGCACCTTTCCACACCCTCCCTTCAATAATTGGCGGCCAGAACAGAGAAAAGAAGGGGGAAAGAGGAGAAAAGAGCCGTCGCCCATCCCCCGACGCACTCACCGCATTATTATCGTTGTTGTTGTTGTGGATGTCGATTTCCCCAGTCACCCTATCGATGAATCGCTCGTTACTGTTATCGTTGTGATTGTTGTTATTGTTGTTGTTGCCGCCAAAGCTGATGGAACCGCTGATCTCGCCAATGTCAGAATCATCATCACTAGAACTGGCGTCCTCTGTGTTGTCGTTGTTGTTGTTGTTGATGTTGTTGTTGTTGTTGTCATCGTTGTTATTGTTGTTGTTGTTGTCGTTGCCGCTTTCGCCAGCACACGATCGTGAGATCACACTGTCGATATCGCTGTTGGTGTTGTTATAGCTGTTGATGCCGCCAATCTCGCCTGTGCAAGAATCGCCATCAAAGGGACCGGCAGCTGCTGCATTGATATTGTTGTTGTTGTCGTTGTTGTTGATGTTGTTGTTTCTGTTTTCGCCAATGCATGGACATCCTACCACTTGCATAGGTGTTGAAGGTGATGATGGCTAATCATCCTTGTCCTCCACATCGAACTGAGCGTACCAGCGCTCCGCTGACACAGCACACAGTGCTTGCCCCTCCTCAAGGACTCCGTAGCAGTGTCACATCAAAAATTGCCGCCTGTCGCTGGTCAATGAACCTTGCCAAATAAGAAGCTGGCCCCTCCTCTAGCTTCGTGATGATGTGCAAAGGCTCTGAAGCATGCTCTGGTGTGTGAGATATGGCAGTGCGTTCCCCCCATCAGCTACCATCCTCGTCTCATCCACCTTCTGTTGGAGAAGGTCGTGACTCGTCTGAAGAAGTGAAAGCCACTGGGCGGTGCCCTGAAGTAAAGCATCAGTCGAGTCCATCGGCATCGTTGACCGCGTCGACCACGTTAACCGTGTCGCTGTCATCTTCTACTTACCACTGTCCAATACAACACATGCCAAAGTCTGATGGAGTTAAAGGGGCCACCAGAAAGGATGGCTCAAATAAGTCAAAAGAAAAAGCATTTGACTAATTCGTGTGAGTTGACCTCTCTGCCTTTTGCCAATGTTAGCAACCAACGGATGATGCAAAGTTGGCAGCAGTTCTCCAGACATGAAGTGAGTCATCTCACATCAAATCCACCAAGCATCATACTAAGGTCAGGGGTTATTCAATAATGATGGGGAAACATTCCATTCGCAGAAAGGGATGATTTTTTATTTTTTTTTAATACAAGGATTCCAGAAAAAATCACACCGTTATAAAAAGCACCTCTATTCAAAAAGAACCTCCCATCTCCCAATCTTTTGTTCTTGGAAAAAGGAACATATGACGATGATGACAACAATGACATGCGCAATTATGCACAATGGTGGGCACAATGCCGTCAGAAATACACCCTCAAAACACCAGGACCTGCCAGGCAGTGCCAGCCCTTTTCCTCTCTCTCTCTCTCTCTCTCTCTCTCTCTCTCTCTCTCTCTCTCTCTCTCTCTCTCTCGCACAAACTGACTTTCTCTCCAGACTCTCCACACCTTTGGCACTCATCCGGTCATCAGTGTCGCCAGCGACGGAGCAACTGCTGGTCGTCCTCCGGACCCCAAACCTGAACCGTGCCGTGCAGGTAAGGCCTTCCCACCGGAGGTGGATCGAGGATGACCCTATACCAAGGGCTGTCATCCATCCTCCCTTCATGCTCGCTGGCTATGGCAGACATGAGATGGCGCAGCATGTCCCCCATTACGTCTTTTTCGCCTGCCACCCACCTGTCGGGGACGATTAGGTCGGGTCTTCGTCGCAAACAACCGGAGTTCGCTGAGTCGTCCATGTCCATCTAGACCGAGGGCAGCCATGACGTCCATCGTACGCCGCGAACTGACGACAAGGGCATAGAAGCGCATATGGACTTCGACCACTACTGCACCGAGATCGAGCTGCCGATCATGGGGCCATCTCTCCTTGACCGCCTCTCATTGATGTCCACTTCACAGCCGCCAACCCACTCCCTCACAACGTTGAAGACATTCATCTCTCTCTCTCTCTCTCTCTCTCTCTCTCTCTCTCTCTCTCTCTCTCTCTCTCTCTCTCTCTCTCTCTCTCTCTCTCTCCCTCTCTTCCTATGCTTTCTCCCTCTCTCTCTCTCTTACGCGTCGCTGCCGATCACCCACAAGATGATCGCCCTTTCAACGGGTCATGCACCAGCACGAATGTACAAAACGCTGGCCATGCCCTCCCAGCACTCCACCGGAGGACCTCTGGCGACACTCGCAGCTGGAGTGATCTCCACGACTATGGCCACTACATTATATAGGCATGCAGGCTGCCTCTCTCTCTCTCTCTCTCTCTCTCTCTCTCTCTCTCTCTCTCTCTCTCTCTCTCTCTCTCTCTCTCTCTCTCTCTCTCTCTCTCTCTCTNCTCTCTCTCTCTCTCTCTCTCTCTCTCTCTCTCTCTCTCTCTCTCTCTCTCTCTCTCTCTCTCTCTCTCTCTCTCTCTCTCCTTCCTTGGGTTGATGGCGACGCACAACCGTTGGGGAGGCATTCAAACGAAGGACAATGGATGTCAGTTCCTGGCAGAATCCTGTGAGGGTCTGAAAAGACATGAGGAGGGGGGGGAGGGGGGAAGGACACCGTATGTGTGCTGCAAAAGTGCTGCCCATTTGAAAAGACATTGCGGCAGATCACCGTGCGTAAGTGGATAGTACAGTAGGTCACCTGTCCGAGCAGTCACGACGCTGGGATCATCAACAAGGACAACAAGAAATAACTCGAAAATTGAAGGAAGATATAAAAAACAAACAAAGATTAAAAAAAACAAATCTAAAACAAAAGTATGAAAACGAATAAGATAGCTGATCAACGGAGGCACCATCAAATAAACCCTCCGGGCTCGTTTTATGGTGCCTCCCTCGCTCTGTTCCCTTGTTTGTTTTCAATCTTTTTCTTGTTTTGTGTTTTTGTTTTTAAATCTTTGTTTGTATTTTATATCTTCGACCAATTATTTTGTCTAGCATGTGATGTTGTCGTCATGCACACACATTTCAGCAGTTGGAGGGGCTGGTGTCCCCATGGTCTCCTCCCCGCATTCTGGTCCCCGCTCCTCGGCGGTCAGCCATGACGCCGACCAACAACTTCAGCACAACGTTTCCCTCCTTTATGGCACTTGCCACAACGCCGACCTGGGTCACCACCGGCTTTGCACGCTCTGTACTTGCCTGGGCAAGAGTACCTGTCGCCTTTTCCATCCCTTCATGTACCGCCATCATGATGCTGGATTTGAGCAGAGCCCTCTCCATAGTGAGCACGGGTGGGCGGTCATCAACGCACTCTTTTCCCGTTGGCCCACACCGTTTCTTCCACAAGCCGTCCAATTCTTTTGTACTCGCACCACTTCGGCTACCGCCTTCTAAAGAGTCATGGCCAGGGGGTGTTTCCTTATCGGAAACACCGCTTTCAGCACCCTGCAAGTTTAACGATGCCTCGGTGTTGTCACAGGCGCCAAACGGTTTTCGATGTGCCCACTCCATCTCCTCCCACAACGGCTGCTCGAACTTCGTGGGGATTCCCTCCCTGTTCCTATCTCCGACACTCGTGTCCCAATATGACAGCTTCCCTGACGCGTTGCACTTGTGCAGGCTGTCCTTTATCTTTCCTATGAGGTTGGATCACTCCTTTCGGCAGTCCTCTGCCGACTTGACGGTCCTGACCCAACCAGCGGCCCTCATCTTCCTTGGCACCCACTCGTTCCTCACCGACCTTCTCACGTGCTTCAGTCGACCAAACACCATTGTCATTATCGCACCATCCTGCTTCATGAACCTCGCCAGATTGAGGTGCTCCTTCAGCGGCCATGGCCAAGTTCTCCTCTTCGCAGGTGCACTGCCTCCCTCCACCTGTGTAGCCTCGTCACCTATGTCCACGTCATTGGCACTCTCCACCACCCGTTCTTCTTGTCCTCCGCGAACATTCACTACCGCCAGACGTGATTCTTCTCCCCCGCCTTGCAACAGGGGAGTTGGACCATGTTGAGGCCGCATATCACCCGACAAGGGGGGCGTGCATCGCTCGTCCCTGTCTCCATGATCCCCTGGTGATGAGGACGCACTAATGCCCTGCCAACCCCCCCCAATATCTTCGACGACACCACCCCCAACATTGTGGAGGTTCACCCACGCCCTCTCCATAGCTCCGGTGTGTAAGCGATCGACCAAAGGGGGCTGCGTACAAGCGGGAGCGGAGGGAGGGATCAAGGAGGTGCCTTGGGAGGCTTGCGGATGAGGAACCACGGGGATCCGCTCTGAGGAAACCCGGGGAGGGTCATCTGTCCGTCGATGAAGGCAAGGGTTGCGGCGTCTGTCACTTGTCATGGCCGCTTCGGAGGTCCTCGGCGACTGGGAGGGAGAAGTGGAGTTTTAATCAGCCTGCTACACCCCACTCTAAGGCTGACTAAATTATTTATATATATATAATTAAAACAACAAATGAGTCAAACGTGAGATCCGAGTCACTTGACCTTCTCTTAATTGTGGGAAGGCAGGATAAACACTCTTTCACCAGTTATCCTTGTACACTTTTCACACGCATCACATTCAGACTTAGCCGGGCAACATTATCACGCAATTTAGCCCTCGAGTTTCTATAGTTAATTGCCATGCATATAACCTTTGGACATTAAGTTTGTTGAGCTCATCGTTTGGTCAAAGTGAAATTTATCGCATTTCCAAGATAGGTCACCTTCTTCAGATTACGACATCATGCTCAAAACGTGACCAGTTGAAAATCTGAAAGGTCAAAACCTTTTATTTGAAGTACCCCTCAGGCGTGCGAAAACCGATCTTGGATTGATGCTTTGTTTGAAACGTTACTGCCATTAAACGAACACCTTGTCAAAAAGCGGTGTGGAACTTCCCCGTTATCTGATGAGGGATCGGGAAGTTACGGGAACGGACTTGCAACCAGAAGTGTGAAAGGATGCATCATGAAATTAAGACATCAGCTTGCTGCAGTGTCCGGGATGACCCACTCTCTCTCTCTCTCTCTCTCTCTCTCTCTCTCTCTCTCTCTCTCTCTCTCTCTCTTTCTCTCTCTCTCTCTCTCTCTCTCTCTCTCTCTCTCTCTCTCTCTCTCTCTCTCTCTCTCTCTCTCTCTCTCTCTCTCTCTCTCTCTCTCTCTCTCTCTCTCTGTGTTTGTCTCTCTCTCTCTCTCTCTCTCTCTCTCTCTCTCTCTCTCTCTCTCTCTCTCTCTCTCTCTCTCTCTCTCTCTCTCTCTCTCTCTCTTTATTTGTGAATAGTCTCTCTCTCACTCTCAATTTCTCCCTGCTTCTTTCTGCTTGCGATTCATGTAAGGTTGTTTTCACAATAAATCTACGTTACCTGATTGGACGTTCGGGACCCCCCTGACCGTCCGGGACTGTCCGATCGGACAACCGGTCGGTCGTCCGCCAGGGGCCCTACGTCCGATCGTGAAAAAAATTCGGGTGGGTCCGGGACAGGGTCTGGGGTGGGGACAGGCCAACCGGGGAAGCGGACTGGAAAATTTGTTGGACACTGGTAGGGCCTCCAAAAACGTAAAACAAAACATCCTGATCTGGGCCGTCAGATCTGCGAGATCGATGACCCAAATCGGGCTATTTTGAAATTCGAAAATGGGGGTCCTGCCGTTCTCCCCCCCGCGTCTTGCCGCCCAAGTTGTCGCCGGAGTTCGGTGTTGCAATTGGCGAACTCCGATGTCGACGACCGCAACCCCATGCGCCATCGCCAGCCCACGCCAGGTGAGCCAACTTCCCTTCGTCCACCTCCTCCTCCTCCTCCTCCTTCTCCGTCTCCTCCTCCTTTTCCTCCTTATCCTATTCTTCCGCCTCCTCCTTCTCCTCCTCCTCCTCTTTGTCCTTCTCCCCTTCCACCTCCTCCTCTTCTTCCTCCTCCTCCTCTTCGTCCTCCTCCTCTTCCTCCTCCTTCTCCTCCTCCTCCTCCTCCTCGTCCTCGTCCTTGTTCTCCTCCTCCTCCTCCTCTTCTTCTTCCTCCTCGTCGTCATCCTCTCGTTGTCGTCCTCCTCGTCGTCGTCGTTCTCCTCCTCCTCCTCTTCCTCCTCCTCCTCTTCCTCCTCCTCTTCTTCCACCTCCTCCTCCTCCACCTCCTCCACCTCCTCCTCCTCATTTTCCTCCTCCTCCTCCTTGTTTTCCTCCTCCTCCTCCTCTTCTTCTTCTTCCTCCTCGTCGCCGTCGTCGTCTTCCTCCTCGTCCTCTTCCTCCTCCTCCTCTTCCTCCTCCTCCTCTTCTTCCTCCTCCTCCTCCTCCTCCCCCTCCTCTTCCTCTTCCTCCTCTTTTTCTTCTTGCTCCTCTTTCCTCTCCTCGTCGTCCTCCTCCTCCTCTTCTACTTCTTTCTCCTCTACTTCCTCCTCCTCCTCCTCCTCCTCCTCCTCCTCTCCTCATCTTCTTCTTCTTCATCCTTTAAGTCCTCTTCCTCCACCTCTTCCATCGCCGTGGCCTCCTCCTTCTCATCGTCCGTTTGGTACTCTTCCTTCTGCGCATCGTCATTCTCCTCCTCACTCTCCTCCTCCTCTTCTTCTTCTTGCTTCTCCTCCTCCTCTTCGTCTTCTTGTTCCTCCTCCTCTCCCTCCTCCTCCGTCGCTGCAGTCTCCTGTTCCTCCACCTCTTCTTCCCCCTCCTTTTTCTTCATCATCCTCATACTCCTCCCCGCCGTCCTTCTCCTCTTACTGTTCCTCCTCCTCCTCCTCGCCCTCTTCTTCTTCCTCCTCCCCCACCTCCACCCGGTTTTTTTTTTTTCTTGTCTTTGGTCTGATCAACCAATCAATCAATCAATCAATCGGTCAATGAAACTATTGATCGAGGATGTCATCGAATCGATTGATTCGATAGGGTCTTGACATATCAAGATCCTATCGAATCAAACGATTCGACAGGATCCTCGATCGATCGTTTGATTGATCGATCGATTGATTAATTGATTGATTGATTGATTGATTGATTGATTGATTGATTGATTGATTGATTCAATTTAATTGATTAATTTATTGATTGATTGATTAAAAAAAAACAAAAAAAACGGTGTGTACCTTCATTTTTTTGATTGATTAATTGATCGACTGGTTGGTTGGTTGGTGGAGGGTCGCCGCCCCCACACACATTCACACACACACACACACACACGCACACACACACACGCACATCCTCACACACACACACACACAC